TGGCTGCTGCTCGGGGCCTGGGGGAGGTGGGAGCGAATCCCTGCTGGCATGTGGGCACCCACCGGCCTTCGGAGCACCCTCGTGGCCATCGTCCACCCCCATCGCTTTGGAGGACCCACACCACCATGGGGGTTTGCCAAGGTGGGTTGGGGGGGCTGTGACACCTGCAGTACTGTCACCCAGTTCAACAGGGCCCCTGTCCTTCCCTCCGTGTTTCTTGCAGCTTTTAGGGAATCGGCAGCCGGGTGGCTGTGACGCTGGCGTGGGCAGGCGACAGCTGAGCCCCTGCCTGACCTTTCCCACAGCCCCTGGCCTCTCCCTGCTGTTGAACTCTCCAGATCCAGCTCTGTCCTCCTCCCCGCCGGCTTTCCGCGGCAGACGCGCTGCTCTGGGCATCCCACCGCCAGCCCCTTCGCTCGCCCCTCGGGGCATCCCAGGGGGAGCCGCTTTGGAAAATATGTGGGACCCTTTGAAAGAGTGGTGAAGATGCTAAAATAACCCCCCATCCATCACCATGTCACCTGGTCCCAGGAAAACTTCCGGCATGGGCTGACCTCTTTCCCAGGCTCTTCCCATGACCAGCGCATCCGTCTTGCTGCTCTCAACCCATTCTTGGTGTTGGCTCCGGCAAGCGGCTGCTTCCTGGGAGAGCTGCTGGGATGGGAATGGGCCATGGAATGGACATTGGTCCTCCGAAGCCGCATGGGATGTGAGGACAGGTCCCCTCTTATCAGATGCTAAGACTTTGCTCCAAGGTGATCGATGTTGGATGTGCCACAGGGCAGTAGATCGTATTCATGTTCTTTTTTTTTTTTTTTTTTTCTTAAACAGCAATATTCCTAGTGTTAAAATGCAGTTAATGAGCAAGCTGCTGCCTTGTTAAAACACGGTGCTGTTTATTTGCAAGCACCAAAGCGGTCGCCTTCCTGTAGCCGAGAGCAGCGTTAATAAAGCTGGAGCGAGGCGCGGGATTAACCTTTCCCATCAATCTCTCTTCATTGAGTCATTAATTAGAGGCTTCGCACTTCCCAGGCCCATCTTCCATGGAAATGGGTGCTGGCAGAGGGAGGGGGGAAGCAGGGTGCTATTTTATTTTAATTTTGTTTATTCTTTCGCTGAAAGTACAATGAATTGGACGAGGATGTGATGGGAAGGAAAGCAGCCCATTTTGGGGGTGCTGCGGCTGCCAAAGCAAAGGGACCTTGTGACTTGTCCATCCCTGCTCCACAAAGAACAGAGCTTGGGATGAGGAGAACTTTTTTTTTTTTTTTTTTTTCCCCTTTTTGAAAAGTAAGGGCTTATCTTGGCCTGGTGGAGGAGGGGAGATGCAGGTGGTGTCCTCAGGGTCTGACACACGTGAGCTGGCAGGGAAGGCCCCTGCAGGATGCTACTGCAGCAGATCCAGTGCAAGCCCTGTATCAAAATGCCACTTTATTGCCTTAACGACTCCCCATTGGGTTTTCCTGCGAAACCCTACCCGGCCAGCAGTATTCCATTAGTGGCCGAGGCCTCGCGCTTGAGCCACAGGTGGTTTTGAATTCGATATCCAGCAAGAGCGGCCGGGCAGGTGGCAGTGCTGAGGGGGAGCAGCTCTGTCCGTGTCCTCCCCGAGCCCCGTGCGTTTGGATGCATCCCGCCTCCATATCCTGCTCAACGTGCAGGAGCTCAAGGCATGTTTGTGCCTGCTCAGGTTGGTGCCTCACTTAGCTAATTCCTAGAAACATTTTTTTTTCTCATTATTTTAAGTCAAACTAGGTGGAAATCAAGCTCTACAGCATTCTTGATCTGAGCTATTCCAGCTCCTGTCTTGCGTCTTGCTCTGGTCTTCCCTGAAACGTTGCCCAGCTTTGCTCAGCGCTTGTCCTAGCAGGAAAAGCTCCCTGTGCCCATACAGAGCTCGTGGACTCACTCTGCTGAGCTCCCCAACATCCCTGTGGGCCCCTCAGCTGCTCTGATCACCTCCCTCTTCAGCACGACTCTTATTTTCTTCTGCTTTTGCGGAACGTTTCAAGACAACTCTCCTCCTTTTCCCCTCCAGAGACATTTTTCAATCAAATCCAAAGCCTCTCATTTCAAAAGCCTTTATATATATATTTTTTTTTTTCTTCTTGAGAGTTTGAAATAAAACGTCTCCCTTGAAAAGGGTTCATAGATAACAGGACAGGCAATTAATAACCGAGCAGGGCTGGGGGGGAAGGAGACTTTTTAAAATAAAGAGATTGCATTTTTATGCAGGTTTTATTAGAGGAGACGATCAAAAGAAGTAGGTGACGAGATCTCGAGCCCGTCCATCATTTCAGCACTCTGAAGTTGGTGCAGACAGGCTTTTACTCAACTCAGCACTGGTGGGGACTGATAATTAAGTGCGGCTCCTCTCGCTCTTTGGTTTTTTTCCCACCTTTTCTGCACCCTGCAGAAGAAGAGAAAGGAGAGACTGGGATGGGGGTTGGAGGTGATGGCCTCAGCTGGGTGGGTGGGTTGGAGGTGGTAGGTCTTGGTTGGGTGCTGGTCTATTGGAGGTGATAGGTCTCAGCGGGGTGGTTGGGTTGGGGGTGATGGGTCTTGGCTGAGTGCTGGTTTGTTGGACGTGATAAGTCCTGCCTGGGCAGTTGGGTGCTGGTATTTTGGAAGTGATAGATCTCAGGTGGGTGGTTGGGTTGGGGGTGATGGGTCTCAGTAGGGTGGTTGTGTTGGAGGTGGTAGGTCTTGGTTGGGTGCTGGTGTGTTGGAGGTGATAAGACTCACCGAGTGATTGCGTCTCAATCTAGTGGCTGGGCGCTGGCCTGTCAGAGGTAATGGGCTGCACCTGGGTGGCTGGGGTGACCCTCTCCTTGTGCCTGCAGACATGCAGGGCCTGAAGGTCTCCCAAGCTCTTAGCTGGTGCTGGCTGTAGCCTGGCCAGCTCGACGTGGTGCTGGGTGATAGCAAAGCTGCCCCGTGCGTTTGCAGCCCTGAGGACCTGGAGCGCGATGGGCGCCGCGGTGCTGCGCCCTGCTGCATGGCCCCATGCATGTGTCTCGTTGCAGGGGGCAGCCTCTCCAA